GCGCCGCGCGCGCGCGACCGCGGCGCGGAGGTCGCGCACCAGCCGGGAGGAGAGCGCTGGGGGCAGGCGCCGGACGGCCGCCAGGTCCAGCACCGCGCGCGTGCACTGCACCGTGTAGTCGATGGCCGAGTTGTACAGCCCGCGCCGCGCCGCGGCGGACATCTGATGGCGCGGGAAGGCGGGCCACACAGGTTCCCGACCCTGCGCGGGGGCGCGTGGGTGGGGTGGGCGCTGAAACAGGTGGGAAGGAGGACTGCTTCTCCGTATGTGGGAGGGCAGGTGGGCGAGAGGGGGGACAAGTCCTGGAGCAAGGGTGGGACAGCGCATGGCGGGGCGGGATGCGCAGCATCGATGTGAGAGGACACCAAGCGGCAGTCTGGTGCGGGTGCGATGGCATGGGACCACGCCCCCAGGCACGCCCCTGCCCTGTTCTCCGACGCGCAATGCACCCACCTCGCGGTCCGCTCTTTCCTCCTCCTCATACAGGTGCGCAAAGTAGGCATTGAGGACCAGCAGCGTGCTCACGCCCTCGCTGGGGGCAACAAGATTGGGTTGCGGAGAGTCATCGGCAGATGGTGTTGGTGCGCAGCATGAACAAGGCTGAGCGCAGGCAGCGCACCATGGACGCGCGGACCCTGCCTGCAGCAGCTGCAAATGTTCGCGGAGACGATGCCACGGAGCACAAGCCGCATTCCACCACACCCCCAGGGCTCACTTGCGAATGAGTGTGATCAGGATGTTGCGGCGGCTGGAGAGGAAGTGCCATGCGTCCCAGCCGATGGGTCGCTGACGTGGAGCAAATGGGAGGAGACGGTGCAAAACTGACAATGTTGGACAATGCTGTGCAGCATGTTCACATGCCATTGGAGAGCATCTACCACCCCCGAGACCTCGTCTGGGTTCGCAGCAAAACCACTGCACCCAGAACAAACACACCGTCTTCAGGGAGAGGAGCGAGAGGGGCAGACCTTCCACCTGCTCCAAGGCTGGTGAATCACCGCCGAGTCCCTCTGTGCCCAGCCTCGCCTCCTTCTGTGCGATGCATGATGACAGATCACACATGGCGTAGCTGCTCCAATGCAAAGGCAGTGCCGCCTCGTTCCCCGTGCGGCAGTTTCCCCGTGCCTCCCCTCTTTCCCACACCTGGAACACGTCGTCATCATAGGGCTGCCCGTACGAAAAGGCAAGTGCTGGGTTGTAGTGTTTCGAGATAAGATCGAGTCCCAGTCCTGCGGCTACAACGGCTGCTGTCGGGGCAGGCAAGAGCCTGAGTGTAAGGCCCAGGCTGGCAATGCTCGCCATGGCCGCGAAGCCTCGACCAGCCCCTCCCAGCACCTCGTGCCGAATCCTCCAAGGTTTTTAGATTTTGATGCAGAAACTCGGTGCAAGGATCATGTGCCCTGCTTGTTGGATCCAGTCATCGAGTGTGCGAACGTCAGGACACGCGCGCAGAATTCGTCGGGTGTTCAGGCACGCTTTCCTCCACCCTCATGATGGTTGCCCGAGGCCCACGCATCCGACGATCGCCTGCCCCATTCCCGGCACATGCGCACTGAGGCAGGGGCAGAACTGACCGAAGTATCGCTGACACATTCCATTTACACACTCTCGACGCTGCATCCTCGGCTCGCCAGAGATGAATGTACCTGGCGTTATCGCCACCGCGGGTGCACCCTGCATGGGGCACTCCATGCCATCTTCTACAGCCCTCAGGTGCATATACGCTCAAAGCCTCAGACCCTTCAAGCTGGCTAGACATGGTGAGTCTTCTCTGCGTCGCATTCTGGAGGCATGCGGGGTTGCCCCACACCGCCCGAGTACATGTGCCGGCGCTGCTGCCGCTGTGAGGTCCACACCCAGACCAGCAATCCCCCTCCCGAGCCGTGCACCCACATGGCCACCAACCTCTTGCCCCCATCCCTTGCAACTTTCAGGAATGGGACGGTCATCTGCTGCATGCAGGACGCTGCGCATGATCCCTGCGGCGGCCGCCACCTCCCTGGAGTTTGTCAAGGGCAAGCCCGAGCCGTCTGTGCCCGAGGTGAAGCTGACGAGGAGCCGCGATGGCTCCAGTGGCGTGGCGACCTTCCGCTTCCCCAGCCCCTCCGTGTTCCAGGAGGAGGCGGACATGAGCGACATCACCGGCCTCTACATGAACGATGAGGAGGGGACGCTGACCACCGTGGAGGTCACCGCGAAATTTGTCAATGGCAAGCCCGATGCCATTGAGGCCAAGTACGTCATGCGAAGGTGAGCGTGGCTGGCCCAGTGGGAGTGGGAGGAGTTGTTGTGCATTGTTGCTGGGAGTTTCTGCAACCGGGGTGGCGGGCTCATGTGCTGAGCCAGCCGCTGTGTGGATGTGGGACGCACCTCAACCCATGCCACTGCGCATGCCCGGCCTGCGGGGACCCATCTCACCCAAAGTACAACTGAAACCCGCACCCCTTTACCCCCATCGAGTGCAGTGCCATCGAGTGGGACAGGTTCATGCGCTTCATGGAGCGATATGCAGAGGAGCAGGGGCTGGGCTTCACCAAGGGCTGATCACCCTGCCTGGGCTTGCTCTTGTCCTTGAGCCTGGCGGTGACCCCCTCCCCTGCCATATTGCTGCTGTTGTCTCATTTCAAAAATTGATACAACGTCCAGGAGCACAGCAAAGGGGCTACTCCCTCCGAGAAGGCAGGCGGAGACATGTGCACACTGGGCTGGATGCTGGGTTGGTGCATTTGGCAAGGGTCTGCTAGGTTCCATGCGGCGCTGCAACTCGGGAACCAAATGGCCAAGCTGGGACGATCTACACCGGCCCCGGCCAGGCCCTCTGGCCTTGGATGAGGAGGATGGCCGCCCCCAGTGCGGCGATGCTTGTCAAGCTGGACAGGACGGCAACCACTGCCGCGGACCGCCGCTTCCTCCTGGCCCCTGGGGAGCTGCCGCGGAGCTGGGGGAGGAAGGTCGCTCGCAAGCGCAGGATGGTGGCCCGTGCGGCCTTGATGCCTGTGCAAGTTGGGGGCCATGCATCGACTCGGGTTGCACTGACTGTGAGCTGGGGTTGCAGCGGGAGGGCCGGCCGAGGGTGAATGCGGGCCGGGACCAAACCCCGCCCATGACCACCTGTACACCCCACAGCACCCGCTCACCCTGCGTCCGGTCGAGGGGCTGGGCTGGGACCTTCCACAGCCCCTGGACGAGGTAGGCGTCTGGGGTCACTGCCTGGCCCAGATCCAGGTACCGCAGCGCGGAGGGCGGTACAGCGCGGTACAGCGCCGCGGCGTCCCTGGCCAGCGCATCGGCCCCGGGGCCAGAGGGCGACAGGACCTTGAGGCCCTTCAGTGCAGCGTACACGGCGGGACCATCCGAGCCACATGCAAACACCGCTTGCCTGCAGCTCTGCAGTGAGGGTTCATGGCAGGGTGTGGTTGGAGGTGTGCAGAAATGGTGGAGAGTGGCCTCCCACGTGGTAGGCAACGCCTGGAATGCGGTGCATTCCAACCCCATCCAGGGTTCCTTTGAGAAGCAACAATAACACAGACAGAATCTTGCACGTCAGCCATCCATGTACCTGCCCACACCCCATGCTGTGTTCAACAAACACCAAGTCCATCATTCAGATGCCCTGCCCTCACCCCTCCAGCTCACCTTGACAGCCACTGCGGCCAGGTAGAGGGGCATGAGGGGGTGGGAGGCGAGGAACAGGTCGAAGAGGCGGCATACTTGGTTCAGGTCTGCCACGTCGTGAGCAAACCAGGTGAGGTGCCAGCTCAGCGCGAAGAACGGGACCTCCAGGGCCGGCTCGTCCAAGGAAAGAAGGTGGGTGTACAGCTGTGGGTCAGCCTGTTGGGGGGGGAGACGTGTAATGTCATGGATGGGGGGGTGTGGGGGCGAGGAGACAGCGCCGTCGTGAGCCAGACCCCTCAGGGCGCTGGTGCTCTGAGTTCAATCTCCCTGCATGTGCAGATCCTTGGGTCAGCTTCATCGCGCCATGCCAGTTCCCCTTCCCCCCTCCCCAGCCCCAATGTGAATGGCCCTCCTACCGCGCGCAGCAAGGGGTACAGCAGGCCGAGGGTTTGCGTCGCCGCCAGGAGGTCTGGCCGCGTGGCATCCCGCAGGTGAGTCACCACCAGTTGACTCAGCACGGCGGCGCCGCCCGCCTCGCCCAGCGTGAACAAGAGCACGGACGCGACGTCGTGCAGGCCCTGGTAGTACCAGACATCATCCTGGTACCGCAGGGCGCGCAGGAGGACACGGCGCAGGGCCAGCCGCTTGAGTGCCCGAGCCTCCTCGGTCCAGCCTGTGGGGGAAGCACGCCAGGATTGGAGAAAGAAGGTGCAGATGATGCCTGAACGGGCTCGACCCAGCGGGCATGGATGTTGATTGATCACTTCCCAACAGGGCAGCATTGACTCGCTGGCCAACTACAATTCCCCTTCCACCCCCCCTTCATGACACTGCATTGATGTGGACACATCCCACTCCTTATGGAGAATTGTATCAACCCCACCTCGCCACAACCTTCTGTGAATGCCCAGAGCGAGCGGTCCAGGTCACATGCGATGACCTGCAGATCCCGCTTCTCGGCGGCTGTCAGGGCGTCCCCCTGCTCCTCCTGGGATTCTTGCACGCTGCTGTTGAGTCCGAGGGACTCGGGGAGCCCGAGGAGTAGCGGCCAGACCCTGGTACGCAGCTGCGGGCGGGGATAGTGTGGGTGGTCAGATAGCTGACCAGGCCATCACTGTAGGAGCGTGAGCGCAGCTTGTGCTTTTTGTTGTCCATCGCGAAAACTTCCAACTCGAGGCTTTTGCATACCTGGTGGGAGGGAATGCCGCGAACCGCCACCAGCTTCCTCAGTCGGATCACATCCCGCTGCGTGGGACAGAGAGCACATGCCACATATTCTAATGCCTTATACAGGTTTTACACTCTAGAAGATGAAATAGAAATCCAACCCACCCTCTTCTCACTGGTTCCTCAATAAGAATGTCATTGATGAGTGCGACAGTCTCCGCGTCGCGCTTGGCTTCTGGGCTGCTCAACTGAGGACCCGACTTCCGTCGACCCCTACCCATGCGGCATTACGGAGTGGAAAAAGGGTTTACCGGGGTCTTGGGTGTCCCCGGAGCCGCAAAGAGTGCGAATTCGCTGACACTGAGTAAGTGCATGAGATCCCCGACTTGGGCGCGCGCGCGTACATCGACTTTTGCATGCAGCGGTTGTCCCTTTGGCATTAACGCTACACTACAAGAAGTCAGTGAGATCGACGACGTCTCAAGATCAGGCTTGTGGCAAGAATGAAGGTGTACGTCAAATGACTACAATGTGATGCGATGGGACTACCTTGACTTGCTGACACCAGCAATCACACAGCATAGATCCTGGTCTGCCTGGTATGAAGCTGAGAGTGACTACCACAAGATTGGTTTAGTATCGTGGAGTCTTGAGCTCAGCTACCGAAACTGGAGCTGTTATACTCGAGACCCCGCGAAATGCTCGCAGCAGCGGTCTGAACGGGTGGGCCTCCCAAACGACTGACGGGGTTCGGAACGCAATGCAAGCAGTTGCATGTCTTAATTACATTCTAATGGTATTCGCAGCATTAATTAGATGCGAAGCAGGGTCGCCATGCCTACGGGGCGCCTTGTCTTGTGAGATGGCCTCGAATCGGTACTGGCTTCCGAGTCCCGGCGAGCAGGGGATGCATTGAGCGGGACAAAAAGTTCGACGGGCCACCCATGCAGCAACACACTCTCCACCGTCCCCCGCCGAGCTCGTTGTGTGGCCATCATCAAATTTCTCCCGACGGCAATCTTATTGCTTTGGTTTTCGTCGGGGCTGTATCCAAGGGAAATCCCAGCCAGTCACGTCGCCCTCTATGCTCCACCAGAGGGGAGGATAATCTCGGCTTTATACCCTCCCAGAGCCAGCGCCAAAGCCGCCTATCCGCTTTACATACAACTTAATGCCGGATAAGGTCGATAGACGAGATTCGGCGGCCCCAGGTGGAGCAGGACAGGCAGACGCGCAGCCGTCCGTTAAGGAGCTGCCGGCTGGAGATGGGCTGAAAGGACCCCCCTCCCCCCGCGACACGGAGGACGAGGTGGAGTCTCACGGAAAGACGGAGCGGGCGGCCAGCGTGTCGGGCACCGGCAAAGTGAAGAAGATCTCGTATTTTCAGCTGTACCGGTGCGTAATGGGTGCGGGCCCGCTCCCCGCTTCGCACCGTCGCAGAATTAACCCGGCGCGTGCTCACCCCCCCACCCCACATTCTCTTCACTACGCCCAGATACGCCGATCGCACGGACAAGCTCCTCATCCTGGGGGGCATTGTGGGCGCAGGACTGAATGGCGCTGGCATGCCTGTCTTTTCCATCGTCTTTGGGTGAGCGCCCATTGACACACACTGGTGGCTGAGGGGTGGGGGGTGGGCAAGGGTGGAGGAGCGTGGGCCCACCTGCCAGGCCTGCCTCACCCAACACCCCCTCATTCTCGCTCCAATGTGCAGGAACCTGATCAACAGCTTCGGTCTAAATGTGCTGGACCCCGATGTGCTTAAAGACCAGGTCAATACGTAAGTCGGGCCAAATGTGGGGTAGTGTGTGTGAGTCTGTGGAGGGTTTCCACCCAGGTTCGTTGAACACATTCCAGCGCTCAGACCGCGCCGCGAGAGCGTGGACTTCTACCCTGTCGCACAGCCTGGGCACCTCACCATCCCACCCCTGCATTTCGCGGCCGCTGTAGTCTGCTGAGCCTCTCGGTCCGCACCCCACATCTCACCAACCCCTCCCCAAGAAACTTTCAACCCCCGCCCTCCCCCTCACCTCTCCTCGCAGCATCGTCCCCCAGTTCATCTACATCGGCATCGCCTGCTTCGTGGGCTCCTGCGCCCAGATGTTCTGCTGGACCTACACCGCGGTGCGGCAGACCAACCGCATCCGCATGCGCTACCTCCAGTCGGTGCTCCTGCAGGACGTGGGCTACTTCGAGTCGGAGACCAGCCCCGGCGCGCTGATGCAGGGCCTGAACGAGGACTGCATCACCATCCAGTCCGCCATCGGCGACCGCATGGGGCGCACGCTGTTCAACCTCTTCACCGCCATCATCGGCATCATCGTGGCCTTCACCCGCGGCTGGAGCATGACCCTGGTCATGCTGGCCGTCACCCCGCTGCTCATGATCGCCGGGTTCCTCATCGCCACGCTGGTCGCGCGCCTGACCTCGCGCATGAACCAGGCCTACGCCGGGGCCAACACGCTGGCCACCCAGACGCTGAGCAACGTGCGCACAGTGTACGCCTTCAACGGCGAGCAGCGCTCGCTGAAGGGGTACGAGGCCTCGCTGGAGGATCCGGTGCGCGTGGGAATCAAGCAGGGCGCCTTTGCGGGCATGATCGTTGGGTTCACCAACCTGGTGGCCTTTGGAGCCTACGCGCTGGCCCTCTGGTACGGCTCCACCCGGATCCTGGCGGGGGAGTACACGGGTGAGTTTCCTTGTGCTGATTGGGTGGGTGGTGGGTGGGGAGCCGGTTTGGGGTGGGGGAGGGAGAGTGGCGAGGGTGCACGAGGAGGAAGGTGCGAGGAAGGTGCCATGAGGCTGGCCATTGCTCGCCCCGGTTCCTGCCGGTCAGTCTCCCCATGGTCCATCCTTGGCCCCCTGGATTCATGGTTCTGCATTGTCGACGACACCCCTCCCCCTCCCCTCCTCTCGCCAATCCCTCAGGCGGCCAGGTCCTGAACGTCCTCTTCGCGGCCCTGATCGGAGGTTTTGCCCTGGGCCAGGCCGCGCCCAACCTGCAGTACTTCCAGCAGGGCGCGACCTCGGGCGCGCGCGTGTATGCCGTGATGGAGAGGGAGCCTCTCATCAACCTGGACGCGCCTGGTGAGGGGGAATGGGGGGGGTTGGGAGAGGCGTGGGATGACTTGCACCGATCAAGCCACTCGTCCGAGGCTCGCTGGGTGCACGCGCGGCGCATGCATGTGCGCTGCCGGGGTGGTGTCACCGAAGCGTGAGACCCACCCCATCCTCCCTCCCCTCACCACCCCTCCCTCTTTGTCCCCGCCAGGTGAGGAGCTGAAGGAGGTGTCTGGTGCGCTGTCGATCGTGGACGTGGACTTCAACTACCCCGCCCGCCCCGACGTCCCCGTGCTGCACGGCTTCAGCCTGGAGATCGCGGCGGGGGCCACCGTGGCGCTGGTGGGCGAGTCCGGGTCCGGCAAGTCCACGGTCATCGCGCTGCTGGAGCGCTTCTACGACCCCACCGCCGGCGCGGTGCTGCTGGACGGCGTGGACCTGCGCTCGCTGCAGCTGCGCTGGCTGCGGCGCCAGCTGTCGCTGGTGTCGCAGGAGCCGATGCTGTTCGCCACCAGCATCCGCGACAACATCGCGCTGGGGCGGGCAGGGGCCACGGACGCGGAGGTGGAGGCCGCCGCGCGCGCGGCCAACGCCCACGGCTTCATCTCCGCGCTGCCCTCCGGCTACGCCACGCACGTGGGCGAGCGCGGCGTGCAGATGAGCGGCGGGCAGAAGCAGCGCATCGCCATCGCGCGCGCCATCCTGAAGGCGCCCAAGGTCCTGCTCCTGGACGAGGCCACGTCGGCGCTGGACGCGCGCAGCGAGTATGTGGTGCAGCGCGCGCTGGACGCACTCATGCGCGCCTGCACCACCGTGGTGGTGGCGCACCGCCTGTCCACCGTGGTGGGCGCCGACGTGATCGCGGTCGTGGGCGGCGGGCGCGTGGTGGAGGCCGGGACGCACGCCGGCCTGCTGGCCGCGGGCGGGGCCTACGCGACCTTGGTGGGCATGCAGCGGGCCAGCCGTCGCGACGAAGCGGCGGTGAGGGCGTACGAGGCCGAGGAGGACGAGGAGGACGACGACGACAGCGGGGAGGGCGTGGCCGAGCTGGGCATGGCCGGGTCGGGGCGCGCGGCCTCCGGCGGCCTGGTGCCTGCCGACTTTGGCGCGCCGCGGCGCGTCGCCTCGCGGACCACCTCGCGCACGCTGTCGCAGCCCGGTTCGCCGGTCGGCGCGCGCATGGACAGTCTGGTGGGCGCCGCCGACCCGGCGGTCATGGCCCCATCCAAGGCCCTGACCCCAGGCATGACGGGGACGGCGGCCATCGGCGGCTGGGCCCGCTTCTGGAAGGGCGTGGGGGCCACCAAGGGTGGGAAGGGCGGCGCGCCATGCGTCCCGCGCCCGCACCAGCGCCCCGACGAGGCCAAGCCCAAGGCGGTGTCGATCGGGCGCATCGCGCGCCTGAACAAGCCGGAGCTGCCCGCGCTCTTCTTCGGCCTGATCGGGTCGGGGGCGCTGGGCTTCATGATGCCCGCCTTCTCCATCGCCTTTTCGTCCCTCATCTCCCTCTTCTACACCGTCGGTGAGGGGGAGAGTGGGGCATGTCATGTTATGGGTAGGGGGAGGTTTCCGGTGCCTTGCAGCCCCAAGTGAGGTGCTGGTAGCAAAGCCCCAGCCTCCATCATGCTGGCGACTCCTCAGCCTGCGTTGCGCCCAAGGGGTCTCACCCCCCCCCCCCCCCCCCCCCCCCCCCGCGCCCGGCCCCGCCCGCCC